TTTGAAAGGCTGCTCCAACAGAACTTATTGTTTTGGAGGAAAACACAAACACAGAGTACAGTCGAGTCTTAATAGCTTACTTACAACTGGGCTTGTCAGGCACTCTTTTTGGCTGCAGTGGTTATTATTATATCCCGTTTCTGCTTGATGATAACTCATGCTTTTCCACTCTCCTTTCTCTCCCTCCCTCGCTCACAGACACATAACGGGTATAGTAGTCCATTCTCCCTGCAGCACGGACTACACTGCCCATGAGGCTACATTCTTTTGAGCAATGCCTGTAAAACTCTGCCTATTGCCTTCATATTAAATAATTAAAAAAATATTTCTTCACATCATTATGAGACGCGAGATTGCAGGGATTTGAGCCTCTTAATGCGTGTTTTGTTTGGGTTTCCACCGGTATGGAATTACCAAAAATAGAGAGGGCATAGCCGAACATATGAAACAGGAAGTACCGCCATGTAATCCAATTATTTCAACAAAGTAACTGTATTCTGAATACCACCTTTTTAAACGGTAACTGTAACGGAATACAGTTACTCATATTTTGTATTTTAAATACGTCACGACAGTGCATGTATTCTGTTACTCCCCTGGTATAACACTGGTTATGGGTGATCCGAGCATCCGCCAGCCTTTTACCTTACTTCTCATATAACACTTTTTTACTCTACTTGAGCACTCAAAGCGCTTTGCACAACATGCCTCATGCCTTTTTTTCACCTAAGTGATTTCTAATGTGCAGCATTCCTTTGGCTATCCTTATTATGATCTGTTTTCTAATACTTTTAGCTCACACTACAACTCTCTGTTTTACATCACAACACTATGCACTGTGGGTATTTCCCTTAGATAAAGTCTGCCTGTGCATTACTGGTCACACAAGTGATTATAGTGATGAATTTCAAGCCATTTGGATGAGCAGTTCTCACATTATGACTGTAAATTGCCACCGTTACACCAACAGTGACTGCTGCCTGCTCCACTCTGTGTGTATGCACACACAGGCATGCTTGTTTGGCTATGTGAGGACGTTCAAGTAATACATACCCAAGCATCTTACACCCATCATAACTGAAACCCAGAGCCCAAAAAAACTCTAAATCGAGTCCTGTGATGGGGTATGAGAAAAAACCTCAAACTGATTCTCACAATCGCAAC